ATGTTCCAGGAAGCCAACCTGCTAGAATGTTAAATTATTGATTAATATCCTTGTTGTGCTCTCGGATAAAATCAGCTCTGGTTTCTGTCGGTGAAATTGTGCTCGAGCGTGTTTTGTTAGAAACTGTTTTTTATTTTTTTTATTTTTTTTATTTTAGTGTGTTCAGTTTGTAAGGCTTTTAAGAAGCCAAGTTGCTTTTTATCTGGTTTAGCTACTTAGAAGTAATTGCTTATAGATATTATCAGCTTTTACTTTAGTTTGTGAGAATTGGAGTGTGTGCCAATTGTGAACACATCTCCTATATATGCATCTAAGAGAGGAAAACCTCTTAACAAGTTTTATCAATCAGAAATATCTGTGAGAACCAAGTCTGGAGTTTTCAGACCTCTGAGTTCAACTTATTCTTTGTATTTTCTCCTCTCTTATATTTTACATAAATTTCAACATAGAAGCCATGATTCATACAATAAAGCTTTTAAATTCCTGGCAGTGAAAGTTATGGATTGAATGTCGTTCTCTGGTATAGAGACAATGATCATCAACCTATAAAAGCATGCTGTGTGGTTGCATTTTTATGAGGGATTGAGAAAAGCTCTCGTCTTTTTGTTTTATTAAACATATGTTGCTTTTGTGCTTAATCACAAAATGTGCGATTTTACGGAAGTAGAGCAGTTTGATAATGGTATATAGCATCTACTAGCTCATTATGTTTAAAAGCCAATTATTTTGTTCTTGTTTCAATGTTTGTTTACTGTCTGTTTTCTTACAGTTAGTTAGATCTTATATGACAGGTTATACATTGGTGTCCTATGGACCATGTTTTGAGTTTCATTATCAAGGTTGTCTTGGGTGAAAAAGATACTTGAAAACAAAGAAGTCAAACTCTGCTGATGAGGAAAGACAATTTTGAAGGGGGCCATGGCAGTCACCAGGGTAACACAATTTTTCCTATCATGAAGTACCTTATAGAGAGTGACGATCTTTTGAGTTTCGGTTAAGTTTGACAGTTCTAGAATGAGGTCACTGTACAGAGATTTTAAGTCAAATTTGTGAGCTCCAGTTTTAGAATTGTACTGTTGTAAGACTAGATAAGTGCTTCATAATGTAATGTACTTCTGGTCTCTGTTTTCATGCATCAAGTGTTTTGATCTAGTTTGCCTATTTGAGAAAGAGGTCACTGTACAGAGATTAAAAGTCAACTTTGTAGAAGTTGCTGAGTTTTCTTTTTGGAAATTGTTTTTATCTTCAAGTACATTTTGGTTCTTTGTGGAACGTGACTTGAAGGAAAGAACTGTCATAAAGTTTCAGAGAAGTCTCTTTGTTACCCAATGTTGCAGCGTACAAAGAAAGAACTGTCTTATATTCAAAGTTTCAAATGACAAAGCTAATGCGCCTGCTTGTAATTGTCTGAAAGAATCAATCATCTACAATCAACAGTTGAAGAATAGTTAACACACTTATGAAACAATTTTGGCTATAGTAGGTTTGTAATGAAGATGTTCTTCTCCAAGCAAAAGTGTCCTCAGAATGGCGTCACACAAACCAGCATAATGCACAATTAAATGCCCACCGTCAGGAACTTCATGATACTGAATCCACGGTAGCTTAAATGAAATATATCTTTGAAGTTGAAATGGCACAACCTTATCTTCATAACCTTGCCAAATATGAACAGAGCTCTGGTTTTGGGGGAACGGATTGCTGAGATCCATGGGGTCGAAATCCCAACGGCTAAAAGCCAATTTGAAGTCATGATGCAGAGTATCAAAAACCCCTTGTTCTTGTAATTTTTCCTTTAGGTGCAAACATAAACATTGTTAAATCATGAGACAGAAGTTAATATATGAAAATGTTATTTATAGAAAGCAGCTTCTTACTATCATACAACATTGTGTGAAATTTCCCACTTGGTGTCTTAGTTTCTATTACAGTATCAACCACCATACCACGAACAGATATGGAGACAGAAGATATGGTTACCTGAGAAAGCATTGGGAAGCCTGGAATTGTTTTGAGGACTTCTATGTCTCTGCTGTTGAAGAATACCGGATTTCTTTCCAGGACAGAAGTTGAAGGGAGCCATTTCTGAGTCACCCACCACCGCAGTAGTCCAGGGGCAAATTCTGCAAAGAAGAGTCCCCATTTGATAAGTTTTCTCCTGTAATCATCCTTTATCAGATGGTCGGGAAGAGAAGGCCACCTATAATTGACAACTGGAGCTACCAAAGCCACACCTGCTAGCCTACACAAACAAATTTGATATAAAAAGTTCGAAAACTCTTCGTTTTGAATCAAGTAGAAAGTTATGAACCTTGAATCTATGAGTGTTTTACCTGTGTGGTATATGTTTGATGCAACTCCAGGTGGGATATGATCCCATTGACACTCCAATCACATAAAATTTCAATCCTAACTCTAACTGATCAGCCAGTTCTTCGATGTCAAGGGCTTCACTCTTGACCGAACGCTTTGGATTTGGATCACTTTCTCCATATCCAGCACGATCATATAGCAGAAAATATATCCCCAACTCATCTATTAATTCCTGGAAACTGAAGCACTGTGAGTTCACCTCATTTTGACATTTTTCTCTGAACTGATGCTTTAGTACTGCTTCTTTAGCCATGTTATATAATTTGAATTAGGATTTTTCTTGTAAACCAAGTGTAAATTTGAAATTGATATAGCTCCTAAACAAACAAAAGAAAACCACTTTACAAGCATAAATTTCTGAGTGTATGCTAAAAGTTGCTTTTGCAGGTCTTTCAGATTTATAAATGTTTCAATTCAGAAAGCTGTTTCACAACAGATTTTCAAAATTCAGATATTCCCTTTACAAGGTTCTCATATGACTGCAGATTCCTAGTTTACATCATTTCTCAAAAACATCCCTCATTTCCCTTAAAATTATTATCTATGTTGAACTTGGATTTGAATACAACGTAATATGCTAAAGCTTCAGAGCAAAATAAGATGATGGTTGGGAAAAGAGAGATACTTGGGGTGCCAGGAAACTCATGTCCTTGGAGCTTCCAAAGCCATGAACAATGATGATCTTGTAGTTTGCTTTGTTCTTGGGGACCCCACTTTCTCTATAAGCCAGATACCTTCCATCAGCAAGCCTGATTCTTGGTGAAGCTGGAGGAAGATCTTCAGAAACAGCAGCAGTCTCTGCAGTGTTTGAAACCATCCCTGAGAAAACAAAACAACAAAAGAAAAGGGTAGATCTAATTCATTCATTTCAACTTTCAAGGACCTAAAAATTGAATGGGAAAGAGAAATGGAAGGAAAAAAAAAATTTGAAAACTCACCTGGCGTGATGTTATTTGGGATTCTCTCTTGGCCTGATGGGATTTCAAATGCATAAGTTTTTCTTTTTCTTTGTGTTTGACTTGCAGATGCTTGTTGGGTTTTCACAATTTATCAGTACAGTGGCAGCAGAGAAGGTTTTTTGACTGTTTGATGCTGAGGCATGTACCATTTGTTACTTGAATAAATTGACACACCTGGATATACTTTTGAATGTTCCGCTGACGGGGGTATCTTGCTACGATTGTCCTTCTCCTGGTTATAAGACTTGAGAGGCGTCACGAAAGCAGGCCCATAAATAACGCCATCTGTAGCATATCCTACCCCTTGCTTCTAAATTTCTCTCATTTCCCCCCTCACTCTACATCTATTCTTCTAAATTTCTCCTGTTTTACGCCTCCCTCGTCCCCTCTTAGGTTCATGTTCATCCTCTGTTTTTATTTATTTTCCCCTCTCTCCCACATCACATCCTTTAACCTAGCTACCACCACCAAGGACCACCCTAAATCCGGCAACTAACAGTCGTGAGTTCGGTGACCCACAACTTCAACTCTAATGACCCCAGCATAAACATTGTAGATGTCAAAAGATGAGTCATTTTAAATTTTGGCTCTACTCTAAAAGAAGTTTTTGAGTGTTGCGGTCACATTGTCATCATGTGTGTTACTAATTTACAAACATGGGTGAACGACAATATTCAATGTAATCGATCTAGAGTATGGTATTAATAAATACATACACGTGTTACAATATGAGTAAATTAATAACACCACGTGGTAATGTGATAGTCACATTCAGTCCTGCTATGATATTAACGAGTATTATATATTCAACCAAAATTTGTTCTCTAATATATTATCGAAATCAACTCTTGAAGTCATTTAAGAAATAGGAGTCACTAGAATTGAGAAGAATTAGATCGTTGACTTTAACAAAATGAATCATTTGTACTCTTTAAAAGTGATAAGTAAATTTCTTGGCATAGCTGGTTGATTGTGAGATTGAAGCGGATTGCCCGCTACAATTTGGTGCTCATGTCATGTCCATGTGCCAGCGCACCTACTGATGTAATAATAGTCACTGCCTAACAGCACACGTTAGCTGGTTAAAGCTTGCAGGAAAATAAATAAATAAAAGCTTTACAAAAAAAAAAAATATATATATATATATATAATAATAATAATAATAAATAAATAAATAAATAAATTGTAAATAAATGATTGATAAATTAAAATATTGATACGAATGAGAGCATCACGATTCTTGGTTTATACCCCGTCGTCAGAATATTCTTGCATTTGTAGTTTTTTGCGGGACTCCGGTGCCTCCCTTTGACATAACCTATTTACAACACTCTCACACTCAATAAAATATTTTGGTTTATAAAATTTATTTCTTAAATTTAAAAATATATTTGCTCACCAGCTTAATCATAAGTGCAGCATCACCATTCCATTACAAAGTTGTCACTCTCACTTGTCCTTCTAATAAGTTAGCCATAGTTATTAAAAAATTAAAAATAATTTATACATGCAAACGTGAGTTAGGCTAGTTGATCAATACAGTGAGTTCATCCCATTGCATCCAAATTCAAATCTCCTACCCCATAAATTAGATTAATTTAGAATAGTTAGATTTGTACTTGTATTAGGAAAAAAAAAAAAAACTTAATGAAGAATAGCAAGTCAACATTAAAAAACAAAAATTATCATTTCTACCATTATCCTCTTCTTCCCCTAAATTTGGAATCCATGGCAGCTCAATACAACATATCCTGCAAGAAAAAGGAAAGAAATTGAGAAATTTATTCAAAAATTCATTGTAGCACGATATATTATACAAAACTCATATAGAGCATATTTGGAGGAAAAAAAAAATCAAAACTAGCCACCTGACATTAGTGGCTAGCATTATTGATCCAAAAATTAAGATTATATCTTGAAATTATCTTGCATTGTTGAATATAAGAAAGGAAATCTTGGACTTGGCTTTGAAGATTAAAAATACTTTTAAGTCACACAAGAAATCAGATAAAACATACAAAAAATATACCAAAAAAGAGTCACATCAGAAAGTGCCTCTCTTGGGCCAAAGAAAATAACTTTTGTGTGGGTTTCTTTTTCTTTATTTTTTTGGGTTAGAGGGAAAATACAATGGCAATTATACAAACGTAAACTCAAAACAATGAGCCCAACAAAGACACAAAGAGGCTGAAGGCTGACAACAAAGCCAATCAGAGCCCACAACCAGGCATAAAGCCCAATCCATACTTAAAGTTTTGTCAATAGCACAGTAGTAGTAAGCTGATAAATTTTTTATTATTTTGCGATGTAACCATGACTTCACACAGAAGAACTTTTCTACATATACATGAAGCACATTGCAGCATTCAAGAAATAGTTGCTCCAGAAACATCCAACAGCTTACTCAACAACGTACCTATAGATATTAGGCCTGCTATCAACATGGGAGCTTATTCTCCAAGCACAAGTGCTTTAAAAATAGCTTCACATAGATGACTCTCAAGAAAAAGCAAATGGCCATAACCAGGAACTTCATGATAGTGAACCCAGGGAAGCTTCTCTGCAATATAGCGGTTTAGTTTATAAGGAATGATCTTGTCTTCACAGCCTCGCCAAATGTGAACTGCGCCCTCATTGTCAGGGAATGGATTTTTCAGGTCCGATGGGTCGAATTCCCACTTTGCATAGCCAGCCAGTATGTCTCGGTACAGAGATTCGTGGACTCCTTGCTGTGTTTTCTTCTCCTGAATTTATAAACATACGCAAACGACACCGATGGTTATGTAAGGATTAGCGCATCCCATGCCTCCTTTGAATTATAGTTTCAAAACTATAAAATTAACAGAAAACATGTTTTCAAAATTGATTCAAACTAGTAAATCCTGCAGCAGAATATTTGTTGTTCATATTATTTGATCCACTACCAAAACAAAGTACCCAAAACAGACCATCCTCCCACAGGTAATTTAACCTCATAAGCTATGAATTCAGATCTAGAAATGTAAGTATGTGAGGTATGATGTGTTGGTATATAAAGCAATTGTTGACTCACATTCCACTTAAGCTTAAACAGTCCTAAAACAACAAAAGTTGACATTAAAAGATTCCAAAACCTCCAAATGTAATTGCAAGAAGCGAAAAGAAAACGGCCGATTTGGTACTGTGGGGGAGATAATGAGAAAATTTGAGTACACCTGACCAACACTTGGTGCTTCTGAGAGTTTCTTCAGCATCTCTAAATCTGTACGGCTGAAAACTGAGGTATTTCCACACAAGACACTTAGTGAAGGGAAAAATTTCTGAGTCATCCACCAATGGAATAACCAAGGGGCGTAATGTGCAACTCGGAACGCCCATTGATCTGATACGGGGAGAGTGCTGAGGCTCTCTCTTGATATATTAGCAGGAACACAAGGCCACCAGTAGTGCACAAAAGGAACTACCAGGGAAGCTCCACACAATCTGCAAATGATGCATCGATAACATAAGATGCAAGCTTTCTGAATATAAACAATAAAGGTTCAGCAAAAACTTTAATGAAAGGAGAAAATAGGAAAAACTGGTAGGCGGGTAGTTGTCATGCCTGTGTGGTATGTATTTCAAGCAACCCCAAATAGGGTAAGCTCCCATTGAGATTCCGATTACATAAAACTTAGACCCAATCTGCAACTTGTCCGCGAGCTCTTGAATATCGAATGCTTCGCTCTTGACAGAACGCGATGGATATGGATCACTCTCTCCATAGCCTGCTCTGTCGAAGAACAGGAAATATATTCTATACTCCTCTACAAGTTCCTGACAATCGAAAGCGAATACAAGGCATTCTACTTTTATCAAAGAGGGGATGAGATGAGAGAGAGAGATACACTAATGGTGCAATGTACACTAGAATGCAAACATTTAGATATGAAACATCTCCCAAATTGGGATAATAGAAAGATCAGAGAGAAGTTGCATATTAGCATTCATGTCTGGTACTATCAATTATCAATTAATTACGCATGATCAATCAAAAGCGTATAGAAGGAATTCATGACCAGCATATCAACTCAGTGTTGCAGCATATCCCTCCCAATGCTGGAAAAAGTTATGACAAGGCATGCAGGATTTAAAAGAAGAGTTGAAAAAAATACTTGAGCAATAGGTAAACTCAAATCTCTGGAACTATCAAAGCCATGAACGACAATGATCTTGTGTTTTGCCTCTTCTTTTGGAACTCCAAACTCCCTGTAGGCCAAATGCCTACCATCACTGAGCTTTACTCTTGGTGAAGTAACAGGAGGACCACCAGGCGATCCGCATATTTTCGGAGGGGGAGGCTTTAGTGCTTGATAAGCCCACCCTAGAAGACCCACTGTCAAAGCTATTGCTACTGGTACAATCATTTCTGGGAGAAAATAGTAACATAGAACATATCATGTCAGTAACACAGTCATAGAATATATATAGACAAGAATCAACTGATAATATTCGTTTTTGGTAAGTGGTGCAACATGATATATCCTTTCAAGATTAGGTAAGTTGATCAGTTGATTCTGTTCAGATTCAATCCCTCAAATCAGAATCTGCTCAGATTCAATCCCTCAAATCAGATGATAATTTACCCTATTTTGAAGTTACACGTAATTTCATTCAATGTACCCAAATCAAAGTATTTATATCAGTAAAGCTAAAAATAAGTGTTCGTATCTCTGAACATAAAAGATGGCAATTGCATACAAATCAGAATTTCAGAAAACTATAGCAGAGCAGCACAACTAGCATGAATTGAAAAGAAAAATAGAAAGAAATCAATAAACCCACCTGAAAAAAGTTGAAAAGAAGTGGGTCTGGCTGTGTTCCTTGTGGTGTGAGTGAGCCCTGGCTCAGGAAGCTGAGACCTTCTTGCTCAACCCACCTAGAAAGTGAATTTGGGAGAAAATCAGATGTTAACAAAAAGAAAGAAATAAATCTGAAAAAGCATGGAAGAAATCAAAATCCGACCTAAGGAAAATTGGAAGGGTGTGGCTCTGTTTCTAGTGTGCGCCCTTGCAGAAGTAGCTGAGACCATGTAGCTGAATTGCTCACGAAACCTTTTCCCACTAAAAAGCACTCTAAATACAGATAACACAAGTGAGTAAGACCCACGAGGGAACATGAACCACAATCTCACATGCAATAATATTCTTTTGTTTTTTCTTTTCCTAGAAACAAACAAGGTGAAGCTAAAAGGCGTGCAATAATATATCAGTTTGCCTCGATATTATCTATTTTCACATGATTTGCCTTCAAGCCTACTTCGAAGAGTGGCAATAATCATATGTACATATGCCTCATGACGTGAGAAACATGTGATGGGTTAGTCTAAATAAAGGAAAATTATAAGGAGCAATATTTTATATACCATCTTGTGAAGTGGATATATAAATATCTAACAAGGTGCATCATGTTGTAGGTGACTGAACTTCCCTTCTTTGCATCTAAGGTACAAATTGGGCGTACTAGCATACTTATTGTGGGAATACATATTTCGGTAGCCAATAGATGGGTGACACATATAAAATGAATATTCCTTAGGTCAACTGATTACTCTAATTAAATCATATTTAATTAGGAAAATTATCTTTGATTTAAGATGAAAATATCTCCCCAAATTAAGGATGAGATTTCCATCAAATCTCTTAGATTAATTCTAATATCCTATTTATGGGTAAGAATAATCATAACCAAGTAAGAATTATTCTTCAAACCCTAGCATACAAGGAGCCTATAAATACATGGTTACACAAGACATTCACGGTAACTTTTTCTCACCCGAAAAACCGTACACAAATTCCTCACTCTCACTCTCTCTCTTGCCGCCCTTCTCACTCTCTCTCCTCACATGGCTAAGTGCCACCACACCACACCTGGATCTCCTCGTGAGAGAAAACTCCATCCATTTTAGCTATTGTGATATCTTTATCAAAATCCAATTGAATTAACTTAGGCATCGAAGGGCCTTTGGCTAACACTCATTGGATGTGGTCTATTTACTCATATTTATTTCACAGGGGTCGAGGAAGAGAGAGAAGGAATATCAAAGATTGAGGAATCAGCTCGCGAATATTCCCCGTGCGGAATTTTACTCAAACATTTTAGTGCTTTCATTGAGAGTACGAGTTATACTCAACACATGTTCTTGAATCAAAGGAATCTGTTTCCTCATATTCATCACTCAACTGAAGCCTTCCAAACAACCATGGTTGGAAGCACATGAACTAGAAGTCGGGCCACCACAACAACCCAATTCGCGAAGAATCCTGGTCACTGTTGGAATTTTAAAAAGGTTTTAAAACTTGAACCGTTTTATTTAATTAATTATTTTGGCTGTTTTATTTTATTTATTGTGGGGGTTATAAATATTTAATATTCAGGTTTTATTTATATATTGAATGCCTTAATTTTCTTGGTGAACTTTTCTGGTTGGTGAAGGTTATATGTTATTGGATGCCTATAAAATTCTACTCCTCATTCACATTTGTAACAACTACAATACACCATCAGAATATCACATACCACAATCACCACCACATACTAATTCTCTCCTTTTCTACCTTTATATATATTATCTACTTTATATTATTATTTTGGCAATGGTTCTATGACTTGGATACCTATATCTGTTTATGAATATGCTCATAGCGGATCTTGAGTTTGTGTACAAGGGGTCGTATCTTGGAGTCTTGTAGACCGTCTCTACCTGCACGTAGAGAGACTACAAAGGCTTTAAGACAATGTATTTGACGTGCTTCACCGTACCAAACTCACCTTCTTACTTATTATTTATTTTGCTTTGACTTACCTATTATTTTATTTTCTTAAATTTCATTGTACCTTAAAACTTTCCAATTTGTTTATAAGTTATTTATAATATAAATCTTTTTGTATTTGGCTTTACAGAAAAGGAAAACTATAATTTTTATAACAATCTAAAGCCTTTGTAAGTTAAAGTTGTTTTCTTCCCGTACTGCTATCTTTTAACTCTTTGACTGAAGCTTTTGCATTTATATTGGATTTTCAAATTGAAAATTACGATTTATTTTGGGTAGATACAGTTTAAAGCTTTCATGTTGTCTATACAATTTAAATTGCTTTAATTGTTGGTACATTTATATTTTATAATTTTGTTGCTAACTTTTGGGAAATTACTGCTAGTGTTTGAAAATAAAAACCTACAGACTAATTTATGTGACATTATTACGTATCTTGAAATCTTATCTATTTCATGAAACGCTTACTTTTGCATTGTTTAGAATCTTGAAAAATATGCATGTCATCATTTTGTTTAATTGTTGTTTGAATTTCATGCGAATAAAAAGTTTAACAATGTTTACGATTTTAACTTTCAAGGTGTGTTTATATACATATATATATATATATATTATAATTTCAATTTAATTACTTCAATGTCATTGGTACATTTTATTGTCACTTTTTGTCTTCAATTGGTGTATTGATTTTGTGAATTAATATTTTGATAATATTATAGATTTTTATGTTTAAAAAATGGGTAGAAAATTTTATGAGATTTTATTTCTATTGTAATGTTTTAAAATTAATTCTGGAAGCCTTAACTAGTTGGCTAATTGATTCAGCAGTTTTTTGAACCAACCTTAATTTATTGAGAATTAAAAAAATTTACATTTATGGAGAAATTAAATTTGAAAATTCTATTTTGTGCATATATGCCTATATATATTTTCAAATTTTCATTACTTATTTATGTTGTATTTAATTACCCAGATTTTTTGTGGAAATCATTTTGTATATTTTGACTGTAACAGTTTCAGTTTTGAGTAATTGGTTTTATAATTTCTGTTGTAGAAGCGTTCCACTAGTATTTAAATGGGACAATTAATATAGTTTTTATTATTATTGCTTTTAAACTGATGGTTGAATCCAAAAGAATTAGTGCTGCCATTCAATTTTGTTTAAAGCTTCATATTGTTTTGATTTCATTTCACATTGTTGGGCACTACACATATTCAATTGTCTTAATTGACGCTTTATGCAATTTAATTGAAAACTTTGGTGTAATGCCATAAAATTTGTTGGCACAATCAATTTTCGTTGGTTATGCAAATAGGTAAACATTTGATTGCTACAGCAAGTTAATTTCTCTATCGGTGGCATCTCAAGTTTAAGATGACTTCCTACGTGTTGCTTCACCAAACTTCTATTACTAAGAATGCATGCAAAACCTCCACGTGCTAATTCCAAGCCATAGGTTGTTGACAAGGAAAAAGTAACTTAATAAAGCGAAACTACACATCCACTTTAGAGCTAGTTAACTGTTAATATGTATGTATATATATATATATATATATATATTTATAGCTTTCATTGTGAGATCTCTTAATTAAGCTTATTTGAGGGACAACCCTTGTAGGGTCCACTCTGGATTGTATTTCACTCATCCAAACCGTATATTTTGTAGATACTCATTGAAAGATCATGACGTCATCACTCATGACTGATTTGGCACCGCTGCCAACTAGAGCTTCGTTGTGGAACAACTTCATTCATTCCCTATTTTGCTTTCCCCCTTGACGTACGCTCCCATGTACACCTCTAGCGAAACCGTAGTCAGTGTGCAATTGGACTCCACACAATTCTCTCATGATCCACACAGTCAAGAAGACCTCAGTCTTAGAGTCGACCAATGGACTCAAAGAGTGGACGACCAAAACAACTTGGTGGAACAACTCCTTAGGCAAATTGACCTGGTCTGAAACCTTGGTCTTGGATCCAATGGTTAAGAGAGAAGGATGGAAGAACACATCGGCATCTGGTTCTAGAGGTTCCAAGCAGGTCAAGCAAGAACAAACATGTAAGAAAGAAGACAGGAACATGCTGTTCAACACTCAGGCATGTCACAAGCATCCGCGAGCCTCGCTCAAAGTAGATTGAGCCTCTGATCGAGATTAAGTCCAAGGACCAATGGTGAGAGGTTGGGACTACGATCTTATGTTCATGCGGGCCTGGGCCTGCAAGAAAGCGTTCATGCTAGATTAGGATCCCAAGGAGATCATCCTCGTGAAATAAGTGAAGAAAGACGCCCACCTGCTTGGTTCGGAGGAGCCAACTCACGACGACAAGTCGCAAAGGATCCCTTGGAAGCTCAGTCCACCAATACGTGAGCAGGCAGGGCAGTCTAGGAGATCTGCTTCAAAGAGACAATGAGGAGGTAGACCAGCAATGCCTGCGCCATGGGAGACATCGACGTGAATTGCAAGCCATGCAAGCAAAAGATGTCGAGATGCTCGAGAATGACCGACTTTGAGACTTGAATATTTGAGGATATTTCAAAGATGCTCTATGCAAGGAGGTGGACCAAGTGAACTCCTTACCATTCACAGTTAAGATCGAGCACGCGACTCCATAGGAACGATTTTCAACGTCTGGTTTTACACATTTCAAAGGGAATTCCGATCACCTGAGCCATTTGAAGCACATCAAAATTGTCATGATTCTCTACCATGCCCATAATGCATTGATGTGTGAGGCATTTGTAATGACTTTGTGAGGAGCAGCTCAGGACTGGTTTTATACTCTGCCATCTGGGTTGATCAGCTGCCTCAAGGAGTTGTCTTTCATCTTCACCAAGGAGTACATGATCAAGAAACTGTTGAAGTTGTAAAGATTTCCTAGCCTTAAGGGTTAGTTGTCCTAGATTGTAGGGTATAAGTCCTATTCTTTAGGAATAAGTAATTTGTTTTTATTCTAATTTAATCATGTACCACATTGTTAGATTGTAAAACGTGGGCTGCATATTTCAAACTTTCAGTTATTCCTTTGTAAGGCTATTTATTGCCATAGTTGCTCTTTGATTCAATAATAGATATTATACTAGCATTTGAGTATTCAACAAACGTGTGTTTACGTGTTTTTGTGAGTGTCCAACCTAGGTTCTCAACATTTGGTATCAGAGCCCTTTCACAGGGCCTGAGTGAAGGTAGTCTCATCGTTTCTCAATGAAGCCATGACGATCGAAAATAGTTTTGTGCAACCTGTAATTCCAAGGTTCGATGGACACTACGATCACTGGAGCATGCTTATGGAGAATTTCTTGCGCTCCAAAGAATATTGGAGCTTAGTGGAGACTGGGATTTCTGCATAAGCAGACGAGAGAAATCTCACAGATGAAAAGAAGAAGACCATTGCTGATCAAAGGCTAAAGGATTTGACTATTTGTCCCAGGCCATTGATCAAGCAATCCTGGAGACGATATTGAAGAAAGATACCGCAAAAGACATCTGGGACTCCTTAAAGCAGAAGTACCAAGGCACAACACGTGTCAAACGTGCACAGTTACAAGCTCTTCGCAAAGAGTTTGAAATTCTACATATGAAGGAAGGGGAATCAGTGAATGAGTATTTTGCACGGACTCTCACCATAGCCAACAAGATGTGGATTCATGGGGAAAAGATGGAAGATGTAGTGGTCATCGAAAAGATTCTGAGATTCATGACTGCTAAATATGACTAGGTGGTATGCTTCATTGAAGAATCAAATGATCTTGACATCTTGTCTATCGATGAACTGCAAAGCAGCCTGTTGGTACACGAGCAAAGGATGGGGAGGCACACAGTGGATAAGCAAGCTCTAAAGGTCACTCATGAGGTGTATCAAGGCGGGCGAGGTGGACTCAACAATTTCAGAGGAAGAGGACGAGGAAGGAGCAGAAATGGATTTGACAAATCCACTCTCGAATGTTACAATTGTCATGAACTTGGGCATTTTTAGTAGGAATGTCCTAAAAAAGAGAAGGATTCAAAAGGTTTCTATTCAGAAACCAGTGAAGAAATGCTGTTGATGGCTTATGTGGATATCAAGGAGGATGACAGAGAAGAATTATGGTTCCTGGACTCAGGATGCATCAATCATATGTGTGGCAAGAAGGAGATGTTCATGGATTTTGATGATACCTTCAGGAAATCCATAAAGCTAGGGAACAGTTCAAGCTTGGCCGTACTAGGAAAGGGAAATGTTCGTATGGAGGTCAATGGAATCATGCAGGTCATTACTGGAGTATTCTATGTTCCGGATCTACGGAATAACTTACTAAGTATTGGACAATTACAAGAGAAGGACCTTGTTTTCCTTATTAAACATGGCAAGTGCAAAATTTATCATCCAGAGAGATGACTGATTTGGGAGACCACAATGGCAGCAAACTGAATGTTTATCTTACTGGCTCGCACCCATTCACAAGGACAGAAATGTTTCAACACTATTACGGATGATCAATCTCACCTATGGCATCACAGGTACGTACATTTGAGCTGGAACGGTCTAAAAATCCTTCAACAAAAGAAAATGGTGAAGGGCTTACCAGAATTCCAAGCACATATGAAAGTTTATGAAGAGTGTTTGGTGGGAAAGCAACAACGAGATCCATTTCCAAAGAAGATCACGTGGAGAGCATATTCAACTTTTGCATGCAGACATATGTGGGCTTATTAATCCGATCTCCAACAGTAAGAAGAGGTATCTCATTTCTTTTATTGATGATTATAGTAGGAAAACATGGGTGTATTACTTGGTTGAGAAGTCAGAAGCTTTTAACATTTTCAAAAGTTTCAAAGCTAGGGTTGAAAAGGAAACCAGTTTAAGCATAAGGAATCTGCGTACAGATCGTGGGGGTGAATTCATTTCACTGACAGCAAGAGGATTAAACTCGATGACAAGAGTATGAAGTGCATCCTACTAGGACTCAGTGAGGAATCCAAGGCTTATCGTCTTTTCGATCCACTTTCTAAGAAGATAGTGATAAGTCGTGATGTTATTTTTGAAGAAGATAAAGCTTGGGACTGGAGTGACAATCACCAAGAAACAATCATGGCTGATCTTGAGTGGGAAAAGAATAAAGAAGCAGATTCAGGGAATGATAACAATACAGAAGAGTCTGAGACTGATGAAACAACACTAGAAAGCGAGGAATATGATCATAATGATCAGACAGACACGACTGACATAGAAGGATGTGTTCGAAGACCACCGGCTTGGATGAGAGACTACGTGAGTGAAGATAGCCTCTCCGAGGAGGAAGGTATGGCTCACCTAGCTTTATTTGCTGAGTTTGATCCTATTACTTATGAAGAAGCTGTAAAAAGTGAAAAATGGAAGAAGGCAATGGATGCAAATATTGAAGCGATAGAAAGAAATAACACATGGGAGTTGATAGAGATGCCACCAAAAGGAAAAATAATTGGGGTCAAATGGATTTACAAAACAAAGCTCAACGAGAAAGGTGAAGTGGATAAGTACAAGGCTCGCTTGGTTGTAAAAGGGTATAGCCAGCGATATGGAGTAGATTATGAAGAGGTTTTTGCACCTGTGCCTTGTTTGGATATAGTTCGGGTCATTCTTTCACTTACAACAAGGAATGGCTGGACTGTTTATCAGTTAGATGTCAAGTCGGCTTTTCTACATGGTGAATTAAATGAAGAGGTGTTCGTGGCACAACTTCTAGGCTATGAACAAAAAGGGCATGAGCACAAGGTATATAAGCTTAAAAAAGCTTTATACAGTCTAAACAGGCTTCTCGAGCCTGGTACAGTCGCATTGATTCATATTTCATGAAGGAAGGATTCGAGAAGTGTCCACATGAACACACCTTATTTGTTAGAAGAATGGATGGAGGTAAAATTTTAATTGTCTGCCTTTATGTTGATGATCTTATATTCACTGGGAATGATAAGTCTATGTTCAGAAAATTCAAGCATTCTATGATGACTGAGTTTGATATGACTGATCTTGGGAAAATGAGTTACTTTCTTGGCTTAGAAGTGCTTCAAAGGTCGGAAGGCATCTATGTTTGTCAACAGAAATATGCTCAAGAAGTGCTGGAGGGGTTCAAAATGATGAAAGATGAAGGAGTGGCAATTAATAACACTATGTACAAACGAATTGTGGGCAGCCTTATGTACTTAACTGCAACGCGACCAGATATGATGTATGTTATCAGTTTGATTAGCGGGTTCATGGAACGACCTACTGAGCTGCATCTTAACGCTACAAAAAGAGTGCTGAGATACTTGAAGGGCACGGTGAGTTTTGGGTTGTTCTATAGGAAGGGAGGAAAAGAAGAACTCACTGGGTACACTGACAGTGATTATGCTGGAGATCAAGATGATAGGAAGAGTACTTTTGGGTACGTTTTTATGCTGAGTTCAGGGGCAGTTTCATGGTCCTCAAAGAAACAACCTGTGGTCACTTTGTCTACAACTGAAGATGAGTTTATAACTGCAGCATCGAGTGCATGTCAAGCAGTTTGGTTAAGGAGGATCTTGCAGCAACTCAATCATGAACCTCATACATCCACGATAATCTATTGTGATAATAGTTCTACTATTAAGCTCTCAAAGAATCCAGTGATGCATGGGTGTAGCAAACACATAGTTGTTCGGTTCCATTTTCTTCGAGAGCTTACCAAGGATGCAGTTATGGAATTGGTCCAATGTTCTTCACGGGAGCAGATGGTAGACATCATGACCAAGCCTTTGAAGTTGGACATGTTTCAGAATTTGAGGGAGTTATTGGGTGTGTATCTGCTCATGGATATAAACTGATTGCTGACAGCTTTCAGTTTAAGGGAGGATGTTGAAGTTGTTAAAGATTTCCTAGCCTTAAGGGTTAGTTGTCCTAGATTGTAGGGTTGTTTCAGCTGTTGTTGATAAGTCCTATTCTTTAGGAATAAGTTATTTGTTTTGATTCGGATTTAATCATGTACGACGTTGTTAGATTGTAAAACGTGGGCTGCATATTTCCAACTTTCAGTTATTCCTTTGTAAGGCTATTTATTGCCATAGTTGCTCTTTGATTCAATAATAGATATTCTCCTCGCATTTGAGTATTTAGCAAACGTGTGTTTACGTGTTTTTGTGAGTGTCCAACCTAGGTTCTCAACAGAAACAAGCCGACCACTTGTTCAACCTATGCAAGAAGCATAATGAGTTCCTCTGAGACTACGTCAAAAGATTCACGGCGGAGAAAGCCAACATTGTGGGATCTGATGAGCGGAATGCATCCTCTACCTTTAATAAGGGTCTACCGACTGAGCATGACTTGTGTCGTGAGCTGACTATCGCTCCTAGCCAAACTCTAGCAGAGGTCTTTGTGATCGCGAAATGTTGCGCGCTTTTGGATGAAGATCGAATCGCCACAAAGAAGTGTACTAAGCAAGCCGACCAATCACCCAAGAAGGCGGGTTAGAGAGGTGATAAGCCCAATTGTACTAACTATGGAGAAAAGTGTAAGGCATCATCCCAAGGTGGTGTACCAGCAGATGAATGCTATACGAAGTTCACTATCCCGATACATCAAATCTTGGCCCAATTGAAGGATAAGCCTTGACTGAGGAGACCACTCCTTTGAAGGGAGATCCTGATAAAAAAGTACCAACAAGTACCGCACCTTCCATGGACACATGGGCATGACATAGCCAACTGCCGATCTTGGAAGATGTACCTTTAAGAGCTCGTAAGAGAAGGCCATTGCACGGAGTTCGTGGAGAAGGGGGTCATCTACCAGATTAAGGATCGCGATGTCGCTAAGAAGCCTTCATAGAAAGTCATAAGGATTAATATGATCCTGGCTGACTTCGAGGAATCTGGACTGACTAGCAAGGAAAAGAAAAGGAAGATTAAACAGGCCATTGTTATCTCCCAAGTCTTAACTGGATTCCCAACAATTGAAGACAATCCCGTGATCGTCTTTCAGAAGAAAGATTTGATTGGGCTTGATCTGCCCTACAATGATGCCCTTGTCATAAGCATACAAATCACCAAGCCATGAGTGAATTCATGTAGAAGAGGGTGTGGTCTATTTACTCCTATTTATTTCACATGGATTGAGGAAGAGAGAGAAGGAAGATCGAGGAATCAACACGTGAATATTCCCTGTGCGGAATTTTGTTCAAACATTTATATTGTCAAATTGTAAATTGAATCACACATTTAACTAGTGTAAATTTCTTATTTGAATAGCGATAGTTTGATTTTTTAGAAGAACCCATTTTATTATTGAGGTGTCACATGTTTGAAATAAATGCGTATTCTCTCTAGCATGACCCAAGGAGAAAATCAGAAGTGTTGCATTCTTAATTTGATATGTGAATTTTTTTTTGTTTTTTTGTTTTGAAGTGTTTCAAATATTGAAACAACTTATATGAACAATAGAATTGGATCAGCAGTACAAGTGATGAGAAGAAGCTCAGCCTCTTCCTCTGCCACATTCCCCTCAAATTGGTTTGTAGCTCTCTTCTCCGTCATGACATTCTCAATGTATAGATCAAACTATCCCTCTACATGAGAATGTATTGTTAGCCATTGAGCAAAATATTATTAAAAACCAACTTGATAAATGGATGGCAAGCTTATATTTATTAGTCCAAATGCAAGTGCCATCTTCTCACTGTGAAGAGCAAGTTAGTTATCTTTGCTTTCTTCTTCATTATCCATAAGAATTTGAGTGAGGACAAGCTTATGTCCTTCCAATTCCAACATAGAGATCACTTCCTCTAAATTTGAAAAAACCTTAACACATTTTTAACATATATTTCCTTCTCCACAAGGAATTCATGGACATTTCCATTCACAAAGATTCAAGCTGGATCTGGAAATCTTTCTTACTCCCCTATGTTTCATCATCAATCCAAGTTTTCACACGTTAACCCATCTTCCAATTTTGGTATAAAGATTTGATAGGAGAATGTAACAACTTAAGTTTCTTAGGGCCAACTTGATTGCCTTGAGGGTAGCATTTTTTGCCATTGAAACATCACCATGCTTTGCACAAGTGTTGAGAATGCCCCTCCAAACTATAATATCACCCTCAATGCATATTTCTAACCTCAACTGTGTTTTCCAACTACCCCGCTCTACCTAAGAGATCAATAGTGCATCGGTGGTGCTGAATCTTACAATTTTGTATTTATCTTGCATAAGATTAAAACAAAATTTTGCTCCCATCAACTAGACCTCCATGGCTACAAGCACTTAGAAGCCCCGAGAAAGCGACCTCATTAGGATCAATTTCTTTCCTTTAAAAATCAAAGAACATCACTGGTGCTTCATGACCAAGGCCATACATAAGGCCATAGAACATACTGTTGTACACGGAAGCGTCAAGCGACATATATGAAA